CCTATTGGAATACGATATTAAAATCAAGCTAAAAACATATTTATACATTTACTTGTAAATGCGAACTAAAATGATATTTGCTTCTTGCGGAGTTTGGAAATACAACAGGTTAAATGTATACAAAACGAATTGCAAATTGAATATTCGCTAACTTGGCAGCTAAGTAATAAATAATAGCAAAAGCCAGAAAACTCACCGAAAACATCATAGATTTACTTAGCGGGTGGGTTACGAGAGGTACAGCGCCACTGACCTTGGTTGCCAAAATCTTTCTTATTAATTTACGCATCCCCTTACTATTTAAATCTCCCGTAATTTAAGTTGCTAGCAAAGTTGACGGAAGAAAAGAAATATATGACAGATTTAGCATAAAAACGTCGTATTAATTTAAATAAACCTCATAAACAAAACAAATTTTGCTTTAGAAGTTTGAGCATATATAGTTGCACAGCATTCAGATGACTAGAATTTGGGAATGCATTACTAATTAGCTTAAAAGAACTTCCTTTCACACAAAATGAAATAGGGGGCTAGAAAAGGATGAACGTAGTACGCAAAACGTCAGCACAAGATCGCGTACTTAAATCAAAATTAAATTACACGCATTTGTTTGTATTTTATTTGCTTTGTAGAATTATTTTAAAGACTATCAAGAATTATTTTAAAGACTATTATTAGACTTCAAAGCAGTGTTGGGGAAAGGTCAGTCATCCTCCAGCCGCAAATCGAGCCATGGTTATTCCAATTGCTAGACGGTTCTGCTAACACCAAGAAAAGGCTTACTATTATAAAATAATGCTATAATTTTTCATAATATTAGAAAGAGGTTCGGACTGAAGAATCTTAATTCACTGCGTATTCAAAGTGCAGCAAATTCACTTTACCGGGCTCATACACTGATGTCACCACTATAATGCTCTTCAAAATGTCAACACGATGGAAGGAATATCTCTTAATTTCTTACATTAAACATGTTATTCAAAGGCTCTGTTATTCATCGTAATAGACTAACGCTTGAAGGATTATTATTTTATTGTTAGAAATATTATTCCAGAATCGCATTTTGAAAACACCCCTAAAAGTTCATTCACCTTATTTACATAATATGGTTCTAGGCAATTTACTTTAATACCTTAATTCATAGCATATTGTAAAATGTTTGTATGTAATATGAGTGTAAATATGTTTAATTTATTATTGCCAAAATGTATGTTATTTAAGCGTGGGTTACAAACAACACTACCAAATCATAAACTATTTCATAGCTCTCTGATTTTAACTCCCTCACTAATGTTTCTTCTATTGTAAAATCTGCAGAGGTTTCTCCTTCTATATCATTGACCAACTGATAAAAATAATCTTCCATTTCACTGCCAGAAGACAAAAGTTGTTCATGCTGAACGATCACAAGAATTTAATAGTTATTCTAAGTTTTCCTTTGATTAGTAGCAAAAAGTAAGTTTTCATAGATATTTAAACTTTCTGACCTTAATCCATATCTTGTAGTCCTAGAGTATTTGTTTCCTGTACGTTTGACGTAATATGCATTAGTTAAAACAAAGTAAGCCTTGAACTTTCACACCAAAGAGCAGGAAATTTACATTCGGAAAACATAGATATTCACAGATCCTTTATTGCGCTTCAGTACTTGCCAGAAATGCCGACTTCCTACTTTTCTGAGGCCAGACTTATTCAATCAAACATCTTCAGTTCGCAAATTGAATTTCTCACTTGCTTTCCACACCTACAAAATTTTTTCTGCTTAGTTAATGATACACACTCTAAATCGTATCTACCATTAGTCTTTAAAGCGTTTAATATGTAGTTTAAGTGCTTCTCACTCTTTTTGCTTTTTCATCGGGTGATAACTAAGGATTTTATTTCTCATTATATGGACAGACTGTTTTCTGAGCTTTTCTGTTAACACATGTTTCCAAATTGGAAATGTTGCACGTTTTACTTACTTCACTCCAATTCCTACTTTGACTTTCGTCTAATATACCGAATTCAAATGAAATAGAAACACGTCGTTCTAAACTGTAAAGTTAGACAAAAAAAAAGGAATATTCTGTTGGCATAGTTAGGGGATCTTCAAAGTGACTCGTATGATACTTAGTGGTGTCCTCTGAAAACATTCCGGATGGAAATGTCTCTCAGAAAATAATACAAGGAAAGAACTTTGGCGTACAAAAACATTGTGTGAGAAAAGAAAGCAAAGAGAATATATCGCAGTTCTAAACCACGGGGGGGCGAGTAAAGCTGTGAAACAACTAAACAGTCTTGGAACATCTTCATACAAAATATCGGGGTAAAAAATAAAGCATTTATAAATCATCGCATGATGATAACATACTATAAAAATTTTAAATGCATATCCCGTAGTAATTTAGGATCACAAAAAAATTAGGAAGATTTTTACCTATATATTTCATATTTTTGTATTAACGAACGAATTAGAAATCCTGTTTATTCGTGTGTTTGTATATTTTAGTCTTTTTAGTTTTGCATTTACATATTTCTATGATTGTATGGAAATAATAGAAGCTTACACTATTAAATATCTCCTTTTGGATTAATAAACAAATTAAAATCTTTTTAATACAGTATGTTACGGCAGATTTATGCGCGTTTTAATGTTGGTTGCGTATTACAATATTTTGATTTCATTTTACATTTTAATTTTTGTTTTTGTTACATATAGAGAGAAAGCGAGTAAGAAAGGGACTGAGTTTAAAAAATTAATTGTATTTTATGAATAAAAGTGTTTGTTTCGAAGACTTGTGATCGACAAGGCTGTATGTATACGGCCTGGAATATTTTTTATGTTGCCCTTAAGAAAGTAATATACATATGTGAATCTTGAAATACGTACCAAAAATTAAGGTAATATGTTAAAAATATATAAACCCTTGTTACTAGGGATATTCTGGCGTTAAAATCAAGAAAATACCTTTTCCTCATGACAGTTTTGGTAATTCTGGTAAATTGTTAGCAAAACCCGGTGCCGGTCAGAGTGTTAATAGCGCTTATTCATAAAACAAGCATTCGTTTTCAAGTTTTCAAAAAAGTTTCATTATTTACTAAAGCCGATACGAAGATAACGCTCCAAAATCATCATGATAAAAAATAATCGCATTAAGTAGTTTTTAATTTAACAATAATCCGATATATGAAATCAAATTACAACAGAATCAAATGCTGTCATGAAAACGTCACAATGTTCAATACGATAACGCAATGGAAAATGTGTCGAAATGTTTGAAGGTCTTGCATTGGTGCTGCCATCTATGAGTGCTAAGCTAAACTACAAGACTAAATTATTGGAGTAATTCAAAATGGTGATACATTTTTAAATATAAAATACTGAACTCCGAGTTGCGAAATGAATTAAAAAATTAATGGAATTACTTGATTTTCATACGCTGATTGTATAAATTATTTTCTGAATACCATATTTTCATCGATGTCACCTGAATGCATATTAAGGTGACAGAATTCATGCAGCAAGTTGAATTATCTTAATAATGAAAAATACATCAAATTAAATTCATTAAGAACTAAATTTAATTTTAATTTAAAAATTATTCAATCAAGTTTTAGTGCTTTATGATATATTTAGTTAAAAAAGACCTTTGGTTTCTTATATTCAATTCATTGAAAAAGACGAAATTTTTCCTCCATCTACCAATTTAAAAATTATTTGCTAAAGTCCGTCATTAATTTCTAAATTTTTTCTAAGAATTTCTAATAATATCAGGACAAGGATTCATGCTTGAAGTTCGTTGTTTCATGCATGCGAACGTAACGTTTTCTTTCTGTGTAAAGACATAAATATTCTTACAGAATTCTCATTTAAGGTAAAACGTATTCAAACCTTCCCTTCTCTCACAGCATAACAATGGAATATTATGTGTTTTATTTTATTTGTAAAGGTATTAGAATCAACACAATCTGATAACTTTCAGATTTTATATTATGTCCAAGGGGATGTTATTTTAACGTTCTGTGTGTGATCTTTATTTATTAAGATACTTAAACTACATAAAATTCAATTCACTAGCAATGTCACGAAATATTTCAAAATAGCATATCTTTAGAATTTCCGATAGACAGTCTGTAATGCTGAAGGTAAAAACGTGTTTTTTTTTTTTCGTGCAGTGTTGCCACTGCTCGCTTTGAAATGGTTGAGTTTGTTAACAACAATTCATTAAGTTTTGCAAAATATGAAACAGATATTAAAACAAATTCAACCATTTCATTGAATTCGAAATTAAAACCTCGGGTTTTCAGATGCCCGTATTCAGGTGGAGGATTACGTAATTCAAAATTTGATTGCTCTACATACCGTCGTTTTGCCACAACGCGAGAAACATACATACATTCATGCAGATTCTTCATCATTTATTTTCTTTAAATATAATACAAGGTGATAATATTTGGTAGCAACGATCGACGCAAAATGCTCTTTCGAGACTAATGCCCTTTTGGGCTAATGCTCCTTTGGACTAATAAAATAAAAAAAAAAACTGCAAAGGAAAGAAAAACAGTTAAACCTTTCGGTACCTGTAAGAAAAAACAATAGCTGAGTCGAATCTGGTTCGAAGCAAAATGGAACAACAGAACCCGGGGAAAATTTAATTCCCGGTTTACATTAAACTTTGGTTGAAATATGTTTCCACTCAAATATAAAGGTAAATGCATTTATGGGAAAAAATTTAAAAGAAAGGAATCTAGTTTTAGTTAGAATTCAGTCGCCGCAAAGTTCAGCTGTCAAAATATCAAAAAGTTGCAAATCCAATTTCTGTTGGAAGACCGTGGTTTTATAACTTTCATTCTAAAAATAAACTCTGTAACCCTTTCCCCCGAATATGTTCCATATTCAATAAACAAAATAATTCTAATATTTTTCTAAAAAATCTTTATTTTATAATATGCTGTAATTTTTATAATGCATTAGTTAACGTTTTGGTATTTTCATTGATTTTTTTTTTCTTTCAAAGGGCCAACAGTGTCCAACAATGCACAATTCCTTGTTTTACCAAGGTAAGTTATAAGCTTAGAATTTTCTTTGATTGAGAATTGCTTATTTCTTTTTTTAATGAATCGTAACCAGTTTCAAGCAACAAAGCAATAAAACTATTTCTCCTGTTTGAAAGAAAACGCACTAGAATTATTTATGATAAATGTAAAAATAAATGCAAATATTTATCTAGGCAACTTTTCATAAAAGTTGCGAGCCTAAATATCTCTTCAATGATTTACCATGGATCATGCTTCCAAATTAAGAAATATTTCAGATAGCCCTTTCAGCTATGATATATTTCCTCCAATGACAACTTTCAATAAAAATATGCGAAATTTAAACATTCATACATCTGTTTTTTGTCGAAACTGAAGCTTTTGAAATTTTTCTTCTTTGAAAGCCCTTGAGAGTTAAACGCAGTAGTACGTGTAGAACCGAGGTTTTCTGCTGCACAAGTAAAAATTGCACAAAGTTCAAAACAAATGATTTAGTCTGTGACTTTCCTTAACTTACCTTAAGTTTAACAAACTTGATGAACATATTATGTCAGACTATGACACATTGGTTAAATCATAAGATGGATAACATACAAATATACTTGACTGGTATAACATGATTTGAGCCTGCTTAACAGTTCATTCAGACAGGCAGGTACTTGGCGATATAGAAACATTATTCGGAATACTTGGCTAGATTCTTATTACGATGTAGGCTTCCAGTGCGCTGTTCCATGTTAAGACTCTATGCATCACATTGCTGCACCACACTCGAGAGAATCACGGCTACTTGCCACGTCGACAAACACCTCGGATGGGCATAGCAGGAAGAATACAGTCTTCAGTACCATTAGAACAGGGAGGGACACACACTCTTTCTCTCCGTCGAGAGGATACTACTGCGCAATTATATAGGTCACCTTTTCTTCAGAATTTCGACAGAAACAAAATTTTAATCATGAACTTCTTTTTCATAATAAAATTTTGTTAACCACGAAAACAAAATCACCATATCGCCATGGGTCAAAATTACTGGAGAAATTATTAATTAAAGTTTCCACTCGGAAAGGATTTCAGATTATATATAAAACTAGCGGCTGCGGCCAAACAAAATTTATAAATTCTATGTACACCTGAAAAGAAAATATATAAAAACTTTTCAGTGTGAATGAAATCAGTTCATTCTTTCCAAGCAACAACCAATTCGTAACTAATTTTGTTGTTGCCGAACCAGGAAACAAAAACATCCAACACTTCCAGATTTACAATTATTGCAGTTATTACTCCGTTTACAGAAATCCACTGCACGGATTATCGCGCATCATCACTCGGAAACGGATTTTCTAGAGCTTTAATGCTCACGCAACTTTTTATTTCATGAAGTCATTAAAGAACAGTCTCAAAGATAATTCCTATTTTATGATCGTCACTATTCCAGCTCATAAATTCAATATTTCTTTGCATTACGCAAAAATATGACAAGAACACGGCACAGATTGTCACATTATCTTCTTCTGTCTAGCTGATTTAGAAATCATTGAGTACAGCTGATCGTCTTCTATAAATTTTCTGTTATTCTCGCACATGTTCCAGAATCATCACTGCATTTCTCTTATCTCTGTCTTCCTTTTCCAACGCACCTTCCTTTCCGAATAATAAGTAATAGTCCCTTTTCAGCAATATCTTTCTAATTTAAATCCTGATCTTATTATTAACTATAAAACATCTCCTGGTGCAGGACACCACAGAATGAGCAGGTGTTCCGTCTGAAAGACTTTCAGCTTTTTCTGCTCATTTAGTGGCTTTTATTTTTTAAAAAAATTCTTTGGATATAAAATTTTGAATAGAAAGAATGTTACACTAGTTTCATTTTACAGAGATTTTTCTGTGAAGTATAACATATGGTTACAGTTATAGGTATAACATAAATGTTATAAAGGATTTTGACACCAAACCTTTTGACAAATTAAAGCATTGTTGTAGAATATTTTACCAAGCGTAATGCAAAGTTGATGAGAAGAGTTGTTAGTGGTTACTTTTGATATAAGATTTAAGATTCTGGGAAGATTGCATCAGGAGCTGTAGTCACGCCTCAACCATCCAATATCGGCCCTCCCCACAACTTTTTTAAACCAATTATAGCTAAGCAGCAATTTAATTTATGCGCTGCATATTTTCGGATTTTTCTGATCATATATTTCATATTTGAATAGTATAGTAATACCTTACGCTTACTTAAAAATTATTAATTGTAGATCGTATTTACAGAATAATTCGGTCAATTTTCTTATAACGTAGGACAACAAAAATTATTTTTGCTATCTTTATTTTTTTCCAATAAAAAATTAGGAATGAAACATTAAATAAATTTGATTTTTCAGAAGAAAAAACATGTTCCTTAACTTCGTTCCTCATAATATATAAGTTCAAATTCCTTACTTAAAATCCTATAACAGTGTTGATAATTTGAATATTAATTTAGTAAATGTTTCCTGCTTTGCTCTTCTGGTTGAAATTTTAAGTCTTCCTAAACAACAATAACTTATTTTCATTATCATTTGATACTTAAACAATTACTTCAACATTAAGTTCAACAACATGGCTTTAAACTCACTCTACAGCATGGCAAATAAGCTTTGGAAAACTCTGTTACCATAGAAATTTATGCTTGTTGTCAATGCAATATAGTGTTCTAATTATTCAAATTGCAATTTGATATTGTAGGTTATACTTTAGTCGAAATGATACTTATTTTTCTTGCTTGTATATCTGATGAAAAAAAAAATTTTTTTTGAAGCAAGCTTACTCAAGTCCTGTATGTATGCCATCTAGACATATGTCTGCACTCTAGAATAAGTAAGGATTCTCTACTAAAATTGATAGCACGACAAATGAATCAAATTTTTAAGAATGACTTCAGTGTGAAATCCAGCTGATCATAAATCACCAGCTGCTGACTAAGAAAGAAAAGGCATCAAAAATAAATAAATAAATAAATAAAAGATAAGAAACCACTAACATCAGAGTAGCAAAATGGCAGTGCAAATAAAGTTTGATAAGCTTTGTCTGAGTATGAATGCTCCAGAAGACAAAAGAAGAAAGATTGTCTAGTTTCGATGAATGTCTGATCCTTGTAATTGCACTTAAAAAGGATTTCGTTCACCTTCTTCAAACTAATGAAGTTTTCTTCATGAAGGTATGACCTTTTATTAGGTGAAGATTAGTTGTAGTTTCTCATCTGCATTACGCATTTTGCTCAGGTCAATAACATTTTATATAACAAATTTAGAGTACGATTACATGTTTTTTTGGTTCAATACACTTTTATTATTATTTATAATTTTGATAATTAAGCAATGTGTTCCTCAATTTTAAATCCAAAATGTTTGAAACAACTTTATAATATTGGATAAATAAGAAAGAATTTCTTTCTTCTTATTATAATTAAAGAAATACATTTTATGGTAGGATTCTGAAACTTGTGTTTATTAAATTATTGTAAAACAGCAAGAAACAAATGCTTTATTTGTCAACCTTAAGTTATACACATCCGAATAAATACGTATAATATTTAGAATATCAGAGAGAAATATCTTTTCAGTTTTCATGATATTTTACTTGTTAAATATATATATTTAAAAATAAAAACATGTTACTTAACGGGGCTCTAGTATCCAAATATTTGATTAAAGCATAATTTTAAAAAATCAGTTTTCCATATTTGGAGGGACCAAACTTTCGCTTATATGCTACTAACCAAACTACTTTCGAATTTTTACATCGATATTCCAAACAGAAGAGTAATTATAAAAATTTCATTAATGTTTATCCTTGTTTTGAAAATACTTTTTAAACCTGAAACAGCCTCTTCAGCTTGGCATTTTACATGGCTTTAAACCACTATATATTTAAAAATAAAAACATGATACTTAACGGGGCTATTATCCAAATATTTGATTAAAGCATAATTTTAAAAAATCAGTTTTCCATATTTGGAGGGACCAAACTTTCGCTTATATGCTACTAACCAAACTACTTTCGAAATTTTACATCGATATTCCAAACAGAAGAGTAATTATAAAAATTTCATTAATGTTTATCCTTGTTTTGAAAATAATTTTTAAAACTGAAACTTTAAAAACAGCCTCTTCAGCTTGGCATTTTACATGGCTTTGAACCACTATATATTTAAAAATGAAAACATGATACTTAACGGGGCTAGTATCCAAATATTTGATTAAAGCATAATTTTAAAAAACAGTTTTCCATATTTGGAGGGACCAAACTTTCGCTTATATGCTACTAACCAAACTACTTTCGAAATTTTACATCAATATTCCAAACAGAAGAGTAATTATAAAAATTTCATTAATGTTTATCCTTGTTTTGAAAATAATTTTTAAAACTGAAACTTTAAAAACAGCCTCTTCAGCTTGGCATTTTACATGGCTTTAAACCACTATATATTTAAAAATAAAAACACGATACTTAACGGGGCTAGTATCCAAATATTTGATTAAAGCATAATTTTAAAAAATCAGTTTTCCATATTTGGAGGGACCAAACTTTCGCTTATATGCTACTAACCAAACTACTTTCGAAATTTTACATCGATATTCCAAACAGAAGAGTAATTATAAAAATTTCATTAATGTTTATCCTTGTTTTGAAAATAATTTTTAAAACTGAAACTTTAAAAACAGCCTCTTCAGCTTAGTATTTTACATGGCTTTAAACCACTCATATACTACTCATTTAAACTACTCTTTGAACTCAGTGATAGATGTGAACTGAAACATTTTACATTTGTCAAAAATAATACAAATGAAATATTTTGATTGGCTTATTAAATTATCAAGGCATTTTAGAAGAACTAAGAGCTTGAAATATTACAAACTAAGAGCAAAATACGTGAGTCAAAATCAAAGCAAACTAGAGTATCTAAATCAGAATTAAATCATAAGTGAAGCTTCTCAAAAGTACGTTTTGAAATTATGATACTGATAAAATGTTTAATACTGCAAAATAAAAGATATATTAGTTTAAAAATTTACCGAGTTTAGGCAAGTGATTTTATTTTAAATTGAAAATTTAGATTTTTAGAACTTTTTAAATATATTTTTCATTAGTTTTTGTTATCGTCAATTAGTAATGAAAGAAAAATCTCAAAGATTTTTCGCTTTAAAATATTCTACGCTGCAAAAACATCTTACATTCTATTTATTATTATATTTTATTATTTGTCAAATTTATGTCATGTGCATGTAATTAAGTATAGATTGCGATACTTAAAATATACTATAATTTATTATGTATTCAATTTTTCAGTTAACTATAACAACTGGAGACAGTGAAATTCTGCCCACATCCAGTGCCTTATTAGCCCAGCCAATAAACGTTCCTTTTGTTCGAATGACTTCACGGCAGGTCCGTGTTGCTGTAGTAAAAAATGGTGGACTTTCCCCAGTTTTAGAAACTCCATTCCTTTCCCCAAAACACATCCCTTCTGTCATTTTTAATCTCAGCAAAGAATTTCGCATTTCTTTAAGGTAAGTAATAGTAACTTAAATAAAATGCAAAACTGATGAAAAATGGAATCCTAACACGAATAATTGTGGCGTTAGTAGCACCACTGTTAATATGCAAATCGCGTTTCCTTTAAATACGCGAAGTAAACTTGATATGCTTTATTTATCTTCCGTTGTGAACAAAATTTAAGTTAAAAATGCCTTTAAAGAAACGAAAAAGCTATGTCAGCAGCTTACTGGGTCTGAACGAGGTCGTCTAATAGTCTACAAGAACTTTGATTTGTCTCGAAATATTGCAAAAAGACTTGGCAGAGATGTATCCACTGTGCGCACGTATTGGCAGCAGCGGTCGCGGGAAGGTACTATGTAAAAAGGCCTGTATCCGACCACACATGAGCCACCATTCAAAGGGAAGACAGCCGTATTCCCCGCATGTATGTAATGCACTAAGCTCCATCTGCAACAGGCATTCAATCTTTTGTTGGCACCAGAATGATACAACGAACTGTAACAAATCGATTATTTAAGGAACAGCTCAGAGATCCTGTAGCGGCCATACCACTAACACCAAATTAAGCTAGAGCTGATTGGAAGACAGAGAGGCAATCTGTTAAGTTCTAAGATAACAGCCGTTTCTGTATTGGAGTCAGTGATGGCCGTGTGTTGCGGGAAACTGGCTCGTATGGACGTTAAACATTCGGAAAACCACAGAATCATCCATGCACCTAGCCTATTTGCCGGAATTCGAACACCAAACTGAACTACTAGTGTTCAGCGACTTTAACGCTTAGCCGCAGGTGGGTTCAGAAATCTTCTTGGCAGTCATAAACTGTAACTAAACTAGATACATCGCTGCCAGTTTATAAGTCTAAAACAACAACTGAAACTTGAGAAGGGTGTAAAAGACCCTTTTATTTAAATGTAAGAAGAATAGAAACCACAGCTCGTGGTTATAAATCAACCAATCACTTGTGGTGATGTAGCATTTAGAGTAACAGTCAGTGAATTTAATGTTTAAATCAATAAGCTTGTAGCCGAAGGTTACACAATTCAATTTAATGCGAAGTTGGCTTAAAACTTAATCGGCTTGGATATCCGACTGTTGGCAATAATAATGTAAAGCCGACGACTACAAATCTTATCATAACTAGCAACCTATTGTCTAAATCTATTAAAGTTGTCCCTTAACAATCTAAAATCTCAACTTAAATACACGCGAGCTAATCTGCATTCTGGCGGGAGAACAGAAGGGAAAAGTGATCATAAAGGTCCAAAACACAAAATAAATGGTTGATTAACATACAGGCAACTTACAAAAAAATATAAAATAATTAATGTCCGAAATAACTGACAAATAGCCAACCTTTACTCTCCTCACAGTACCATTTACTGCGAGTTTTCTCAATACCAGCTACATGAAAGAAGAGATGAAGTAGGCAGCGGTGCTTCACCTAAACAGAGAGAGGACGTCGGGCTATAAGGTTTTGGAGTTAGTATACCGTATTCTAAGCCTGACACTTAATTTTAACTTTAATTTAAAAAGCAAAGTTCTCTAGTATAAGCGGCAGATAGCTGTCTGCAATTTAGAACACCTTGGTTTTCGTTCTAGAAGTATGAAAGAAGCTAAAACGGAAACAGTATTTACCCCGCACTGAAACAAAATTTTACTAAATGAAAGACTTTGTAGAGAAGACAAAGAGAAAAATTACTCGGTGACAGAGACCGATAAAAATTACGGTGAAAAAGAATATATTCCTGTGTTTCTCACTTCTTATTCACTGTCACTGTCGTTGTGCAACTGCTGTTCAACGTAGTGACAAACCATTCCTAAGCACAAAACGTAAGTACTGTCCTGCACTTGCTCGAAAATCATGGCTTATATCCATTCGACCAGCTTCTTTACGAGCTTGCAAGCGGATCACACCATGTCATTACACCATGACAGTTACAGGATAACTAGAATTACTTTTTCCATTTGCCATGTGATAAAATATTACCTTCCAGCTGCGGATATTTAGCTGCTGTCCATGAATCGCCTTCCTCTTAACGCTTGCTGATTTGAAGTTCCTTCTTCGGTTTTTGTCATACTCGCACGTTGGATTCATCCTCGTAAAAAATGATGTGCTTTGTATACCTATTTCTAATCATTCCAGCGTACAAGCCGCATCCATGATTTTCCTCTTTTTTTTTGTGAAAACGGCTGAGGTTTATCTACGAGAAAATACAACAGATGGAAGATCAAGTCCATCATAACCCAATAGCCAGTCTAAATTTTGCAACAGTCACATTCCTCGGATGGTCTGTCAGGAAAAATTTTATTTCCTGTCAAATTTACCTTTTGATCTAAAAGCACAGACTTTTGATAAATGAATAATAATATTCTATTATGGATGATCTCTCCTCTTGAAAAACGATATAACGTTATGCTATTTAAATGAGTTTACAGTACTTATAAAATTTCCGTACAAATAGGCAAAGCAACAACCTTGTGTTTGGCGAATTTTAAATCAAGACTCATCGATGGTACGTGTTCCTTTTCATCAGGAACAAAGAAATATGCCAAGAAGAGAGGAGCCACAGTCGTATTTATAACAAAAGCAAAGTAACGTGAATGAGAAAGTAGCGTCATTTCTCCATAGATAGAAATATTAACAAAAGGAAAAATTAAATACATAGAATTATAAAAGCGTCAGAGAGGACTGGATTGGATTTAGAATCACTAACGAAGCAAGTTAAAATTTTGCTAATGAGAAAATCTTCAAGAATATCCAATTCCCAGCTGAAGATGCTTTTCGGATAATTTTTCTGACCTAAACTCGAAACTGCGATTAAATTTCCAGCTGTGTTTTAGCTGTCGAAGATTTATTTATTTATTCTTTTCGAACATAAGACTCGTATTCCTTGACGCAAAGCTTTAATGCTATGTTAGTTTGACCGATATATTTCAAACCACGTACACAAAGTATGGTATGAATTCCACAAGAATTAAAGTCAGAAATTGAATATTTAAGAATCGAACCATGGATTTTATTCATAGGTGAAAAGATGACTTGAAAACTGAACTTCTGGGATATGTACGCAGTTTTGTAACTGACAGCAGGATGAAATGGAAGAACGACAAGCTTATTAATGTTGTTTCTAACATCGGAATGTTATCTTTGATGACAGGTTCAGGATTTTCTAAAGGCTTTGTCAATGACCACGGAAACAAATCCTCTTTTGATGCAACCGATTTCCAATATTTGAGTTCATTAGAAAGCAAAGATTCTGAAAAGCAAAACTTCGAGAGCCTGAATTGCAAAATGCTAAAAAGACGCAATTTTTTGGCTTAGTTCAGAGATATAATTTAGCATGGGGAAGCAAACAAACAGAACAATGTTTACACTAAACAGTATTGTTGAAATTAGATTAATTGCGAATTATAAGAATATCAGGGACGGAAAGGGTATTGCCAGATTCAATTTCAAAAGTGAACTGGATGTCTGGATTAATCAAATTTATAATAGATGAAATCTGGGATAAATCATCTTTATTACCATCACACGAAACTTCCAACTATGTTGTGAATCCAGAGATGAAAAGATGGCTTCTCAAATAATTTACCCTCAAAATAGTATATGTAAATACTGGAACGAGGGTATTATCCAAACCTAATCCTACGAATTGGAGATAAAATTTGTTTGAGAACGCAAAGTGAGTTTTACCCCAAACAATCCGGAAACTTAGAGTATTAGAATGTCTTGAAACTAGACTTTAAGAATTTCTTTACACTTGTACTGAAACTGAAGATTTAATTTCTCTTACTTGTCTCTTTGATTCAAACCAACTTTGTTTTCCCAAGCAAATACTGTCATCAAACTTAAGGATTAGCTATGGGTAATCCTCTCAGTCCTGTATTTAGTGACATTACATTTTGAAGTTAAATTATTTAAAAAACTACCTTATCGTCTCCGGATTCACAACATAGAAGAAACGTTTGATTGTTTTCATAGACAATCGAATTTACAACAGATTTTACCTATTGTAAATTCTACTGATCCACTCAGTTCCCTTTTCCACCCATCCAGTTATTTTTTAAACTGAATCTTTCAGTACCCCTTCCTTCTTTGATATTCTCATAATTCGAAATGAATTTGATTTCACCACAACTGTTTACTGTAAACTCGTTTCTCTTTAGCTTACTTTTCATACAAAATCATGTCACCCAGCTAAGCAAAAAATTGCTACTTTTTACTAGTATGTAGTTCGCGCTCTCGGAGTTTTGCTCCTCGGAACCTTTTCTTTCTAATTAACTCAAATATTTGAAATCAACTGACAGAGGATTTTTTCCTGTGATAAAAACTTCAGAAAATCCTGAATTTGTCATCAAAGAAAACATTCGAGATATTAGAAATAACATTAATAACACTGACATTCTTCCATTTCATTCATCTATCAATTACAAAATTGCAGGAGTTCAATCTGCAAGTCATTTTCTCACCTATTAATAAAGTCTATGATTCGATACTTAAATATTACATTTCTGATTTTAATTCTTGTGGAGTTTATAGCATATCTTTTCAGTGTAGTTTGATATATATATAGGCCAAACTAAATGAGCTTTAAAGTTTCGCATCAAAGGACACGAATTTTATGTCCAGGAAATAGAAATAAACAATTCCTCTATAGCTCTTCATAGTTGGAAATTTAATAACAACGTTAACTTTGGGTCTGCAAAATATATCCAAAAAGCTTTTTCAGTTGCTGAATTGGATTTTCTTGAAGCTTTTCACATTCACAGAAATTTAACTTATTTAAATAATGACTTCAATTTCAACCCAGGCTTCTCTAACGTTTTTAAAATTATATTTACTTGATTTTTTGTACGATTACTGTTTATGTGGACAGATGGGACTTGCTGCTCCTCTTGTCGCTTCAGAATTTCTTTGCTCCTAATGAAGAGGCAAGTGTACCTGTTCGTCCTCGAAATCAATTAAATTTTGGCTGGTTGTTGTTTTGCTTAATTGTACGTCTTACTTTGGCGTATTTCTTTTCTCTCTTGACATATAAAATTGCTTAAATTTCCAGTATATTGATTACATTTCAGATTAAAATATACTTTTTTTTTCAGTGGAGTCCAGAGAAGAAACACTTCACCGCAATCAAGAGGCGATCATTCTAGACCCATCACTGGAGAGATAAAATTTTAAAAACTCCAGATACCCAATAGAAAATTGTGATACGATGTAAATGATGATGTACATAATTATTATATATATTTTATAAGAGGAACCGATTTTATTGTGGTTGCATTACTTGGATTTGCTAATATAGAAAGCAATTCACTTTCCTTTTGTTGTTGTCTCATTTTAATTATTTTGACACAAAGACAATTACATGCACTAATCCATTCTCACCTCTTAATTTTGATCACCACTTTGCACGTATTTCATGCTTATTCTTTAAGAACAGTGTTAATAAAAATCTTTATGCTGTATTATTAACATCATCATGACCCGTGCCATATTTTAGTTTCATTGTGAAGTCATAGCTTTCCTTAATCTTAAATTAAATTAAAATTACGAATTATAAAATTGCTAAAATTCTATAACTGATACAGTCAAACTCCGCTATAACGAACCCTAACGCTATAACGAACATAACGAAAGAACTTTTATGTCCCGTCCAGTTTCCTACACATTCAGTGCTGTTTCATGGGACTGTAGTGAATTCTTAAATATAAAAAAGTCGGATATAACTAACTTCTGGGTTGAAAATATTTCGTACTTTTCAAATTTTTTCCCGAGCAAACTTCCACCTGAAAAATAACTTACCCTTAAATTAATTTTGTTTAGGTTGTTAGAATAATGCACAACGCTTTCGAGTTGGAGTCATCATGTTTTTCAAAGTCAGGAAACTGAAGGAACGCCCAATGCACCCACCGAGATTTAAACCGCGACCTTCCGATTGCTGGCCAAACGTACTTTCCACTTACATCAGGAATGCACACGGTAAGATGGAAGAAAATACCCTACACTCCCCTCCCCTTTAAGGGGCGATTTGGAAGGATGGAACCCAATCGTGAAATCCTTGTGGTGATGAATTATCATCCTCCACCTTTTCAGTTGGTCACCGCTTGTTCTACCATTAGGTTTTTGCTTCGGAGCACGAGACGTGAAAAATTTTCTTTGCCCTTAACAAGATTCGAATTCCGGACCTTCTGATTGTCAGTTGGTGTGTTTTGCAATTACACCAGAAAGGCATGCGGTAAGGAGAAGGAGAGAGAAAAACGTGCAAAGTTACAATTTTTTATCTTCTATCCCATCTTTCTCTGCGTTCTAAAAAAACGTATGAGAGATAGGTATAACCAGGAAAACTAGGACACACAATAAGCAAACTTTAGGCGATCTTCATGTGTCACGCATTGAGCCAACAAACCGTTGATCCGTCTAAACAAAGAGCTTCAATCGGTTCTTTGATGCAGATGTCAGATAGTACTCTATTCAAGTCAGAATCTTACTCGTAATTTTTAGTGTGCATTTTAGATAGAAATGTGTAGTTGGAAGGAAGGCTCAAAACTCTGACTTTTATGGTAAGTAATTTTTCATAGAAAATTGTTACCGACTGGTGATGCTAAAAATCAGCGAAAAAAGGAATATGGTTATTACACTTAATCGTAATTAACTTTTAATATTTTAATTAACGTCGTTTCTTACATATTTTGCGAGATGCGACAATGTTAATCAATCTTTCTGTGAGATTTATCATTTAATATTTACACTATTTTGTGAGACGATCCATTTTTTTTCATATCAAATCAGATGTAGCGAACCAAACTTTCGACTCCTTGTAGTCGTTACAACAGGGTTCGACTGTAATTTTCGTGCATCTCGAGGTTTTGGCTTGAATAAACAACAAAGAAAAAGTCAAATTAAAAGTTATAAATTTTATTGGGCTTCACAAGTTACAGATTTAAAACTTACTGGCTACCACTTCAAATGTACATTGCAATTTTTAGGGCCCAAAATTAAAGAAACTATAGAATTAACCTTATCTCAGCCAGAAGTAATATGCTTTAAGTACTGTTCGTTTCATTTCACAATGCTTTAAACAAACTGCATTTTTGTTATTGTAACTTCAATTTGCAGCTTCTGCAATTTTGTTTTTCATTTCATCGAGAAAAGGCTTGGATAAAAGGTTCTATCTATGAATGCAGAATCGACTCCATGACAAAAGACTTTATATTCAGTATTAAAAGATAACAAGGCGAAAGGTTTCTAGTTCTTTTCCTATTAAATATATCAATAACTAGCAAAACAGATAAAACAGAGATCTGCACTTTCAGCGAACATGGATAAAAGATAATATACTACATTTAATTTCATCCCCGGCTAAGCGTCAATATCGCTACACATATCATAAATCTTCGAGACACTTTAATTTTGTTTAGAAATTGGTATTATTGACTTCGTGCACATGATTTTCAACAGATATACAAATTATTGCATTCTTAAAAGCAAGAAGTTAAATTTTTATTTGTTACAGGGGCTTTACCATATTTAACTATGCAATAAGCAATATGGCTGGAGACCTCAATTGCACGTAGTGTCTTTTTTCATTAACAGTGAGAGTTCAGTTGACCTTTGAACTGAAGGATGACTTTATATTTAACCGCTTTTGAAAGCGATGAAAATAAAATACTAAAATACTTTTTTTGGTTTATATATAGTTATTTACAAGACTGTTCAAAATATTTCCTTTTTTTCCTATGCAGTAACTAAGGCATCTACCTTTTTATTATCTCCCGTACTCTGTGAATGCACTCGTAAATTCACAAATGTGTGGAAATGTACAATATGCTTCGCAACAAGTTATGTACACCATATTTCCATTTTTAAAAATTCCTGTTTTCAATTATTGATCCACAACTAGCATGAGAAAACCATTGGTAACAATAACAAAATCAACGGAACAATTATAACATTTTGATATCTGGTAATTATCTGAATTTGTTGAGAAACATTTTTTGTCACGTAGATATAAAAATGGTGATTCGCCACATACATTCATTCATATTCTAAAAAGGAACGGAGATCAGAAATTTAACTTTGCATTTTGACCTTCTGTTTCGCTTTGAAAAAAAGCAAGTTTTCTGATAACAAATTTAGAACAATTAAAATCAAAAGTGGACCGTCGGATTTTGCACAATCTAAATTTTGCGTAGCGATAACTTTCTCAAAGCTCGGAGAAGGTCTCTTCTTAGAAGGCAAAGGTGGCCCACCTATTAGGTGCCTCCATAGTAAAGTGACCACCACTTCTGGCCTTAGTAGTGGCCAAGCGCACGTCGGCTGAGGGCCGGCCATTGGTAAAAAAAAAAGCTTAAAATTTTACTCATAAAAGAATTAATGATGACACCTATTCGAACAAAATTATCACAGTTGTCATTATTTTTATTAGTTAATTGAAAATCAAACACTACATTTAACGCTCCTCCAATCAAGCAAGTTTTTAAATAGGCAAATTTTTCAATTTTCGAAAGTGAATCATTTCGATCAACAATACTTCGATCGACAAATGAATTAAAAATTTCGTAAATCATATTTAACAAAATAATGTATCAAATGAAAGTGTGTGTTAATCAGCACTCAAAGGCCCAAAAGAAATAAATTGTTAGGTCACGGTACCAATTCGTTATGTGGAAATTAGTTGCCGAGTTGTAAACTTTTTAAATTTTTAAAAATATTAAGTTCAGTTAAATTAAATAAATAATGATTAATAACTGTTTCGTAAAGTGGTTAGTACAACTGTATCAATATAAACATAAGTGAATTTAACCTAAAAATATCCGAATATATTTAATTGGTTAAATATTCACTTATTTTTTTCATTCAAATAATATAAAAGGGGCTATATTATTTTTTAAGATAACGCGAAAAATTATATGTTAAACACATCCATTTTAAAGGAAAGAGTAAGCAAAAAAACAACACTTATAAAGCATAGAAACAACATATGTAAAGTGACATACCTGAAAGTAATATTAAGCTCATGAGCTCATTAAATCCCTAAAGAACTGATAGTTCAAATTGTCCGTAGTAAAATGATAAGAGCACGGGTCTATTCTAACCAAGGAGTTTAGAATAGACCTCCTTAGACCTATTCTAACCTACTTGGTCCACACTGTCTGTCGGTCATTTTTCGTATTCTGTTATGGCTTTCGTCTGTGGATGCCATTTTTGGGTTGCTGTAGATAAAACGATGATAGCTTAGCTCGATGATTTTTAACATTTTTATTTAACACTAGAAAAAAGGTATATATTTTAACACACGTTCACTGATACGCAGTCACAATGGTTGCAGTTCACACGATAAGCATTTTATAGTTAAGAAGTCCACGTAAGTGAAAAATCATGAAAGTGAAGCGGAAGACAGGTGAGCGTGTGGCTTCACCGACAGCAGCCAGGAACAGAGTAACCAGTCCAAATTTTGCCTTAATTGGAGAAGAGGGAGAAAGCTGGTAACACCCTCTCTTAGGCCAGTGGACAAATAATAATAATAATGAGTTCTCCCCACTGTCAAGTTAAAAATAATTATGAATTTTACAATAAATTTCATCACAGGTTGAGCCTGTGCCAGAGTACTCTGATGATTACGCGATTAAATCACTGTATAGTATTGTAGTTGCTTGCAAAGTTCTTTTTATAATAATTTAAAAGGCAAAAAACAAAAGCAAGAATCATTTTTTTCATATATAACATCTTTATTATTCACTGTAGCACTTACTAACTCCTTACTGATTTCAGGCATGACAACACTTCGAAAACTAAACTAAAATTATAGGGGAAGTGAAAAGTAGTAGTTATTATCTAGTAGAAGTAGTTGTAGTTATTATGACCAATAATAATTGTTGCCTACATCGCTCCCCTACCAGTAACAAAGGGCCCTATTCACGACAAGGAGCGTAAATAACGATCTTCTCTTAACGGACGACCGCTAAATTTCACGGCTCCAGTAACCGTAAGGACTGTTGGTTAAATTGGCGTTCGTGACAACGACCGTCGGAGGGATCCTTACGGTAAGTAACCTTCGTTCGAGAGTTGGGGAAGTTCTTTAAAATAAGCCGATCATATTACAGCTACTAGAGGCACAGGTTGACTCATCAGCCATGTTCAAGCGTGGGCCTCGTATTGTAGCCACGCTTTAGGGTTGTATTTCAGGTTTGGAGTGCCATTTTTAGCTCTTTAGCGGTGTTCGCTAAAACGTTATTATTTAACATTCTAGGGTATCCAAACCAAAGAATCTCTAAGAATCTCTTTAGATATTCTTTGTCCAAACTTCCGTTTTTTTTTT